GAGTTCAACGGTGGTGTGTACAGAGCTGTTGCATCAACAGAGGAGGAAGAAGATCGGTGTTCAGGAGGGGTAGGTAGATCCGACATGTTAGTTGAGGATACTAGAGGTAGAGTAGACACGTGGTTGGAAGGTGATGATTGTACAGCTGTGGCTGGCGGCCAGCATTCAAAGTGGCAGGTAGGAGAAGGTCAACCTAGTGGAGAAAGTGTGTCAGAATTTCCAGAGGAAGGTTTGAATTTTAGCGGGGACTACCAGGGCCTTGGGTTGAGGAGTAATTATTTTAATAGTAGTGAAAAGGCCCAGTCAGATGACTGGAGTGAGCCCATCTCAAATAATCCAAGAATTTCACCAACTGGGCCAGCTGTTAATTTAATTAAATTGGGTTATGGTAAACAGAAAGAATCTCGGGTGGAAATACAAGGAGAGATGCAACAGTCAGTTTTGGTTGAATCAAATTTGCAGAACTTGGTCCATGCTAGGTCTGAATACAACTCAAAATGGATTGCTGGAGGGTCCAATGACAGATTACAGTCTCAATTTAGAGGGATTTCAAAAAATTTAAATGAGGAAGTGTTAGAGGAAGTAGTGGACTTGGATAAGGAAATTAGCACTGTGGAAGAAACAATGGTGGAAACGGAAGCCATAACAGTTCAACCGCTTAGTAATCACGTGCTAGGATTCAATAACGAGTCATTTTCAAATGGCCTAAGGAGTTGGAGTCCTTTGGATCATTTGTCTAGAAGTTTGTACTTTAAAAATGCCCCAGTTAGGAGGTGGAATAGAGGAACTTGTTCTAGAGTGTATAGAAGATCTAGAGAAAGAAAGGTTTGGTTTAATCCGAGCAAAGAAGAAGGGGTATTGCAAACTATGGAGTTGATTGATCAAAACAGTAAAATACTCGATCCTATTTCGAGTAGTCAATCTTTTCCAACTATCTTGGAGGAAGGATCCACTCATATTGATGAGAAAGGTGATTTTCTTCAGAATTCAGCAGGGGACCAAATTCAGCATTCAGGGTGTAGAAGATTGTTTAAAAGGAGGTCAGTCTGAATCAGTGACAGGGAACGAGTAGAAGAAAGAGAAGGTTTTTGATTAGGGAAGCTCTAGATGTGGTTAGTTGCCCTACTGTCTCCTCTTCAACTTTCTCGATGTTTTTGGAGGAGGCTTTGGCTACATGGGAAGTCAGTAAAATACTGGGAATTTCATTTAAAGAGGGGAAGAAGGCCTTTTTGGAAAAAAATTATAAATCTTGAGGAGGGTTTGGCCGAAAGGAGGGAAGGGATGGAATCGGGGGAATAGGTTTCTTTTGTTCATTTGTTTTGAGGCTTTTGGTTTAAATTTGTCTTTATGATAAATATTAATATTATTTCGTGGAACGTAAGGGGTATTAGAAAGAAGGAAAAATCAAGAGCTATAGCTAATATGGTCAAGAAGAACAAGCGTGCATCCTTCTCATTCAAGAAACTAAGCTTGAAAACTGTACTTTGGCTCTTAGGAGAAGGATAGGGGGTAGATTTCTTAAAGGAGGAATTTTTGTTCCAGCTGTGGGGTCTGCAGGTGGATTAATGGTAATATGGAATGATAATGAATTTGAAGTTTCCAACAACCACTTAAATAGCAGATTCATAGCAATATTTGGGAAGTTTAAGAATTCAAGTGAAGAATGTGTGCTTATTAATGTTTATGATCCTTCCATTGAATCTGAAAAGGATGAATTTTTCAGGGAGCTGATGGAGTTTGTTGCTGCTCAAACTTAGTCAGTTTGCATTGGGGGGATTTTAATGTATACATTGATCCGGCAGAGAAGGTGGGCAAGTCTCAAAACTGGCATTCTATTGATATCCTTATAAATTTCCTGAACCAAACCAATTTAATTGATCTTTCTCTGGTGGGAGGAAGGTTTACGTGGTGTAACAATAGAGAAGCTTCTACTTGGGTCAGACTCGATAGGTTCTTAATTTCTGGGAAGTTTTTGATATGTTATCCAAATATAGTGCAAAGATTACTACCTAGGTCCTTATCTGATCATAATCCAGTTTCATTGGAGGAAAAGTCGGTAGATTGGGGTAAAAAACCTTTCAGATTTTTTAATGATCTCTTAGAGGAGGAAGGCTTTGAGGACTTGGTTAAATTTTCCTTGGATGATTTGAGGGGGAGAAAGAAGAGAACGGGTATCTTCAGTATTTTACAAGGAACAAAAAAATCAATCGGAAACTGGTCTGGCAGAAAATTTTATGGGATTTCTGAGTCTATTTCAGAATTGGAATTGAAAATTAATGATCTCAAATTCAAGGCATAAGGTGGTACTCTTTCTCATCAGGAGTGGGACCAGATGATTCGGTTCAGATCGAATCATTGGAGGCTGTATAGGATTGAAAAAAGTATTTGGTTTCAGAAATCAATGACGAGATGGATTAAAGATGGGGACAGAAATACAAGATTTTTTCATCTGTCTGCGTTGAATAGAAGCAAAAGAAATGAAATTTCAAGCTTGAAGATTAATGGGTATGTTGTCTCAGATCCTAATACGATTAAGTTACATATTTTGGATTTTTTCAAGACAACCTACAATTCCAAATCAACAATGGAAGTGGAGGACTTATTCCTGGATTTTGAAAAGCTGTCAGGGGATCAGTCTTCAAAGCTTGAGGAGCACTTTTTAGAACAAGAAATATGGCAAGCTATAGAATCATCAGACAGCTCTAAAGCTCCAGGTCCGGATGGTTTCACCATGAGTTTCTTCAAGAGATGCTGGCCTAGTTTAAAGGAGCATGTAATGAATTTTTTTAATGATTTCTACTTTGGAAGGAAATGGGAGCACGGGTAAACCATGCTTTTATCACGCTTATTCAGTTGGTTCCTTTCCCACAGATTATTTGGGACTTCCCCTAGGTGCTAAGAAAAATTCAGAAGTCTTATGGGATCCAATTTTTAAGAATTTTAGTTCCAAACTTGCTGGGTGGAAAGCTCTCGTCTTTCATTGGCTGGCAGGACAATCTTATTGAAGTCGGTGTTAACTTCCTTACCAATCTTTTTCTTATCACTTTAAAATGCCCCGCAAAATTGGTAAGAAGTTAAATTCATTAATGGCCAACTTTCTATAGGGTGATAAGGAGGAAAAAAGGAGGATACACTCACTTGAATATTACTAATCCAGCTCTACTGGGAAAATGGGTGTGGAAGTTTGCCAATGAAAAAAATTCCTTATGGAAAAGTGTGTTTTGTAGCAAACACAAGGTTAATTGCAATACCATGTCTATTAGGAAGGTTGCTTCTCCCCAATCTTCTTGGATTTTAAGAGGTATTGCCAATAAATTCTTGAAGAACGATTCGGAGGGTGATTGTCTCAGATCATATTCGAAGTTGCAAGTGGGCAATGGAAAGTCCATTTCTTTATGGATTGATGCATGGGTAGATGAGTTTCCTTTAAAAAATCTATTCCCTAGAATCTTTGTGCTATCTCCTAACAAATGGGGAAATGTTGTTGAGTTTGGCAGCTTTGAATCGAACGGTTGGGTGTGGAATATTTAAACCAGAAGGAATTTGTGTGATCGGGAATTGGATCAATGGATGGATTTGATGTCAAAACTGAAGGATATTAAACTGTCAGATTCAGTAGAAGACTTTCTAACTTGGTCTGCAAGTGGTGATGGGCTGTTCTCGGTTAAATCTTGCATAAGTGCAATTGGTAACATGTCTGGGGGTAGTGAACTGTGGTTAAAAGGGGTATGGTTGGGACTGTCTCTACCTCGTGTGGAAGTTTTCATTTGGCAGCTAGCTCATCAGAAAGTGGCAGTCAGAGCAGAGTTGGTTAAGAGAGGATTGTCCATAGGTGATGATATTCTTTGTCCATTTTGTAAGAAACATGAGGAATCAACGCAACATTTTTTTATTTCGTGTTATGTAGTCTGGGAATTATGGAATAAAATAGTAAGCTTTTGGGATTTATCAATAGTTTTACCCCAAGACCCTCCTTTACTTAGCTCCTGGGGTGAGTTGAGGGTGAACTCGTTGATTTGGAAGTTTATTTCGGGAGTCGTATTTTGGTTTATTTGGAAAGTTAGGAATGCAATGGTGTTTGAAGGATCACCTCTAGACAGGCCGTCTCTGTTCTTCATTGTTAAATTCAGGTTATCTAAATGGTTCCTAGCAAGTTCCCTAAGTTCCCTATACAAAAGGATGTGCCGATTGGTGACCCATCTCTTGCAGATGGTATTTCAGTTCCTAAATCTAAAGATTGTCATGTGAATCGATGGCTTCTCCCGTGAAGACATTTTGAAGATGAATGTTGATGGAGCAGTAAGGCTAGATGGCTCGGATAGAGGTATTGGAGGTATTTTAAGAGATTGGAATAGCTGTACTCTTTTGACTTTTTCAGAGAATGTTGGTCAAGGTCCCCCTTTAGTTGCTGAATTAAAGGCTATAAAAAGAGGCATTGAAATCTTTTTTGTCATCACGTTGGGTTTCTGTTGGTAGGTTGAATGTTTAGAGTGACTGTAAGTCTGCAGTGGAATGGATTCAGTCCCCGTCTTTGGCTCCTGTTTTTTTCTTGCCTTTAGTTAAACAGATCTCGACACTAATCTCTGAAAAGGTGCAATCAGTTAGGTTGATTTCAAGGGCGTGTAATGGGGAGGCAGACAGTTTAGCAAAGAAAGGGATTGGTTGATTGTAAGGTTTCTTCTGTGGATTTTTCTATTCCAGTGAGCAGGTTTTTGTTGTTGGTGGAGTTTTTACGTTTTTTTTAATTCAGTTTGGTGTAATTGTTAAATCTTATGTAATTTCTTTTTTTTTTGATAGGAATGTGAGGTCTCATTAAAAATCCCCCTCATGATTAACGGACCACCAAAACGGTGTTCCATAATCAGCGGAAGGGGGAAAAGAATACCTCGATTTATTAATATAACAAAACTCATACAAAGACCATAACGAAACACTTAACACACCCTCCTAAAAACATACTCCCAACACCAACTACATAGAGGCAGAGCACACACAAAACATCACCCAATCCCTTGTTTAGCCAGAGAATCTGCCTCCCAATTACAACTTCTAGAAATGTACCAAACAATAAACCCCCTTTCCAAAATAATAGATACAATTTTCCCAACCAAAGAAGAAAAGAAAGGAGGGGCTGAAGCCGGCCACATAATCCAGTCCACAGCGACTTTACAGTCACTCTCAACGATCAATCTTCCCACCTTATCCCATGCTGAAGCGAGAAAGTAATCAATGCCTTTTTCAATTGCTTTTAACTCTGCCAAAGGGGGAAGACAAGGGCCAACACTAATAGAAAAAAACCCTAAGACATTACAACTTGAGTCCTTCAAAATACCTCCAATTCCACCCACTCGCCCATCACTACTAACCGCCCCATCAACATTAAACTTAAAAAAATAAGTTGGAGGAGAAAACCAACTCTGAACGGTTTTCCTTTTAACATTAGGACGTGGAAGCTTATCTAAAATAGTAGGGTCCCCAATAAGGGAGTCGACTAGGATATTAACATTCGGGAACTTTGCTATGAACCATTTAGCCAATTTGAATCTTGAAATGAAGAAAAGAGAGGAACAATCCACCTTCATCTTCTCAAACACCACTGAATTCCTAGATTTCCAAATTGACCAGAGAACAACACCTGGAATAAAATTCCAGATTAAAGACTTCTCCCTTAACTCAGACCAAGAACTCAACAAAGCCGGCGGGTCTTTAGGCAGCACTGAAGAGATATCCCAAAGCTTGAAATAGTTATTCCATAAATTCCCAGCAACCAAACAGGAAATAAATAAGTGCTGGACAGTTTCTTCCTGTTTCAAACATAACGGACAAAGAACTGACTCCAAAACAACACCCCTTCTCTTCAACTCCGATCTGACTGCCAGTTTTTGATGGGAAATCTGCCACAGAAACGTCTCGACTCTGGGAGGAGCGAGACCAGACCAAACATCCTTACACCAATTGAACGAACCTCCCGACTTAAGGGAAAGAGTCGTCCTACAGGCCTTAACCGAGAACAGACCATCACCATTCCCTGACCACTTAAGGAAATCATCCACAGAGTCGGACAAACTGATGTTATCGAGCAGCGACATAAGTTGAATCCAATGATCTAACTCCCAATCACATAAGTTACGCCTAGATTGAATGTTCCAAACCCAGCCTTTATTCACAAATAGCCAAACTCCGACACCTTTATTCAATTTTAAAGGCATTCTTTTCCTCCTTCCGTTGATTAAGGAGCTCCTATTCAAGCTCCATTAATCAAGAAAGGGGTTTTTAACGAGGCCTACAATTCATATAAAAAAAAAGAATACCTTATAGAGATCAATTGGCCTTTCAACATTTTCAGCTACATCTTCAATTGTCATTTGGGCACCAGTTTGAGCAGCAGGAACATCTCTATTTGTAGTAGTATCTTCTTCCGGTTTAGCACCTTTAACAAAATCTGGAATGAAAAGTAGAGAATCAATCTTACTTCTCATGCGTGGAGCTGGTGGTGGCTGCAAACAGAAATATTATGTTTTTAGAATAGAAATTGCAATTAATATATAGAAAGTTTTGCACTAATCTCCTCATTTCTAAGAGAGAACAGTAATCAGAATAAACCTCTAAGAAAATACGTACAACCAGCAAGGATTTCTCACCACAAATTTAGGTTTGGATGGGTGGGCAGATGGAGAGCCACACCCATGTTTGTGCATACAAACATGTTCATACATCATAAAAACTTCATAAACTGTTTCTACTAACTTCAGTTCATGAAAAGAAAACAGCAGAAGAGAAGCAAGAATCTAAGACTACCTTCCCCATAAAAGGATCAATGAGATCAAAGCGCTTGCATAAAACAGGTGAAGGTCGCCATTGGAACTCCTTCCTTTTTGGATACATTTTCTTTGTCGCCAAATCCTCAGCATGAACATCTTTAACTTCCTGTTAAATTTACCGGTATTCAAAATCCTGCATAAAGATTCGGTAACTAAAAAGTCACCACCTTAAATATACCTCTAGTCCACCAGAAGTGAACTGCATTCCACTAGCTAAGAAGTCCAATGGCTGTGCTGAAACCATGCTTTCCTTTCCCCGTTTTCCTTTATCAATTGCTTCAGCAGCTGCCTCGAAGTCCAATTTTTCACGAGCACGAGCTGCTTCTGACATATTACTAGCCACAGTCAACCCTGCAGAGCGAAGCCCTCCTTCATACTTTTCCTTGAGAAACTGCTCAAATCTTTCTTGCTTTGCAGGGTCATCTTTGAATGGTTTTGCAACTTCCGGCAACTTACTCTACAATAGAAAGAGAGCAGAAGTCTGAACTAAGCAGGCTGTTTAAATTATAAGGTGAAGTGTAAGAGACAGAAAACAGAGATATAAGGTAATGAGAAAATTGAAAGAACCTGTAGGAAAAAGAAAATCTGGGATACTTGACTTGCATTACTCAGATGAAAACAGGGATAAGCAGAGAAGTATGGTACTTACAAATGAATTAGATTTTTGAAATGTATCAAAAAGGTTGAATTGAAATTGAAACTCCCCAGAAGCAACTGATGAGCTTGTGGTCTCTCTAGAGCTTCTTTCCAAAGGTTTTTCTCCTAATAATTTTCCACGGCTCTCTGCCGTCATCTTCTGCATACTTGGGGAAAGTTTTCCATCCAATAAAAGTTTGGCTTGATCACCTAATTTCTGATGCTCCTCCCACAGTCTCCTTTCATAATAATCATGTCCATTTCCTCCAGAAAGAAAACTGAACAATGGATTTGACTGATTCTTCTTTCTGGAGAGATCCTCAAATAATTTACCACATCGTGCTACTAATTTTGCAACCCCCTCAATTAAGAGCTTCAGATTACTATCATCTGGGGAAGGAACCTCGGGTGGAGAAGGAACATCGAGCTTCTTCAGAGTCTCAAGAGGTCCAGGAAATTTGTGGTGTGGAACAAAATCCTTTGGGATTACGGGAGGATCAAACCTGAATAACAATTTGCAAACCGGTATTAACAATTCTGTTAAAGAAAAGTACAAAGAACTATGACAGTTCTTTTTAATCTCTAATCTCCAAATTACGCAAAACAGGATTGCAAGGAGATAGACTTGATAAGGGTAAGTACTAAATGACTCAAACAAAAGTTAAGCTACAAGCAGATTAACATAAATATTTATATGGTACATATTATGCGCATCAAGTATGTGTACCATCATCATTTACACGAGTATCTTTATTTCTTTTGGTTATATTGACATTTCATTAAATGATTAATGTGATATGGAAAAAGCTAACTATTGATGTAGGAGAACTTAGGTCCATATAAACCCCACAACGAAACCCGTATTTTTCCCATGTGGGGTCCAAGTCCCATACCTTGCAATTGGACACATCAATCCACCGCGCTCTGCATTCTTAGTGCCCACGTGGGCTGGCTTTGCGCTAGCTTAATCTAGCCCTGGGCGAACAATACAATATCGACACTAGCACCGCACAATCGCAACTGGGAGACATGATGGTTGGCTCTTCTACCCATTGATACAGACCTTTGGAGAACCACGTCCCAAAAGTTAGCCATTGAGGAAGCCTAGGTCCATATAAGCCCCACAAGAAAACCCATATTTTTCCCCATATTTTTCCCATGGGCAATCTAAGTCACAAAACTTGCAATTGTACACATTATTATGAGTTTCACTTAAAAGCTAGTAATATTTAATTTAATGTCCATGTTAATGTCGCGTCTTTTATTTTTTTCTTAGCATAAATATAAAGTAAGAATTCACACCTTTAAAAAAACACAAGTTCCACCAGTAGGCTATTAAAGATATCCATCACCTATCCTTTTAATTCTTTCCTGTTTAATTAGCATTATTTTCACATACTCTATTTTCCATGTGCCTAGTACTCCAGCATTATCCGCAGAATTCTTAATTGAACAATATACAGATCAATGACATAAGCACCAAGACCATTCCTAAAACTCAATTTTACCGACCACACTCGACAAATCCTACAAGATTTCTGTAGAAAACAGACTGTAGAAAACAGAATAGTCTGTTATGTTTTCTTATTTCATTCAGTAGAGTATATTACATATTTATATACAAATAATGCCTCTAAACTAGGAAACTCTAAGTTAGGAAATATACTAATCCTATGAGATGCAATCCCTTGAAACAAGGAATTGAAAAAACAAAGCATAATTACAGAATCTCTTAATTTAAGGAATTGAACAGCTCATTTCTATAATTCCTACAACTTTACATAACCTACACTCCCCCTCAAACTGGTGTATATATGTTGTATATACCCAGTTTGAATGACAACTCATCAAAAGTCACTCGTGGAAGGGCTTTGGTGAAGATATCTGCCAGCTGTTTCTTCGTCGGAATGTATTGTAGTTTTGCAACTCCATTGTTGACCTTCTCGTAAATAAAATGTATGTCTATCTCAATGTGTTTTGTTCTATCATGCTGCACTGGGTTTTTTTGCTATACTCATAGCTGATTGACTGTCACTAAAAATCTCAAAATTCTTCTTGTCATCTAAGTCCAGTTCTGTGAGCAGTCTTTTAATCCACATTCCTTCACATATTCCGAGAGCCATTGCTCTAAACTCTGACTCAGCACTACTTCGAGAGACAACGACTTGTTTCTTACTTCTCCAAGTCACCAAGTTACCCCAAACGTAGGTACAATAGCCATTAACTGACCTTCTATCAGTTAATTCACCTCCCCAGCTTGCATCCGTATAAACCTTCACTGTTCTATCTTGGTTTTTTCTAAATATAAGTCCAACTCCTGGGGTAAACTTCAAGAACCTTAGGATTCTGTTAACAGCTTCCAAATGTTCTTCTCGAGGATCACTCATATGTTGGCTGACAATACTCACTGAGTATGCAATATCAGGCCTAGTCAGTGAAAGGTAGATCAACTTCCCAACTAACCTTTGGTAGGTCTCCTTGTTTACTGGATTTCCAGTCCTTTCCTTGCAAAATTTCAAGCCTGACTCCATTGGAGTTTCAACTGGTTTGCAGTCGAGCATCCCAGTTTCTGCAAGAAGATCTAAAACATACTTGCGCTGGTTTATGACCAGCCCTTCCTCGGACCTTGCAACTTCCATACCCAGGAAATACCTCATACTCCCTAAATCCTTGGTTTCAAACTCTTTTGCAAGGTTCATCTTTAGCTTTTCTATTTCTTCTATATCACTGCCAGTTATAATCATATCATCTACATAGACAATTAGGAGGGTTATCTTACCACTCAGTGTAATTTTTCTGAATAATGTGTGATCCGCTTGGCTTTGTTTGAAACCATTCTGTGTCATGGCCTTCGCAAATCGATCAAACCAAGCCATGGGAGACTGTTTTAAGCCATATAAGGATTTATTGAGCTTGCACATAGTTTTCTTAGTGACATTTCCTTCTAATCCGGGGGGGACCTCTATGTATACCTCTTCTTCAAGGTTCCCATTCAGAAAAGCATTCTTTATGTCCAGCTGATGTAATTTCCAATCCATGTTAACAGCTACTGATAACAATATTCTGATGGTATTCAATTTTGCAACCGGTGCAAAAGTCTCCTGGTAGTCGATGCCATAGGACTGAGAAAAACCTTTAGCAACCAGCCTTGCCTTGTATCTTTCCACACTCCCATCCGAATGATATTTGACTGTGAATATCCACCTGCATCCAACAGCTCTCTTTCCTTCTGGCAAATCTGTCAAACTCCATGTCTTATTCTTTTGCAACGCTTTTATCTCCTCTTCCACGGCATGTTTCCACTCAGGAGATTGAAATGCTTCTGTCACATTTCTTGGGATTTTCACACTGTTAATGCTGGCAGTGAAGGCCCTGAAATTAGACTGTAATTTCCCATATGCAACATACTTATTTATGGGATGAGCAGTGCATTTTCTTACCCCCTTCCTAATAGCAATAGGAAAATCATCAAGATCAACAGTAGTAGCATCTTGGGAACCATCATTACCTTCTGTTCCAGCTGCAACAGGATCCGAATCTGGTTCTTGGCAAATGCTAGGCTGACTAATTTCTTCAGCAACATCTTTCCTTCTTCTTGAGTAAACACTGAGTTGTTTCGGTTGGGGAGTTATGGTTTCAGGGTCATTGTTAGGAGCATTTTTGGTGGTGATGGAAGGTGTTTTACACGGACTAGAGTGTTGAGATAAGGAGGAAGGTAATTCATCAGAGTTATTTAGGTTATTCCCATTATCCTCACTAGGAATTGGGACAGTGCTAGCCGGCTTTGGAGAGACAGTAATAGGTAAAGAAAGGATAGGCTGTAAAGTAATATCGGTTTGGACAGGCTGAAATTCCTTGTAACTCTCCCCCTGAATTTCTGTTCCTGAAAAATAAGGTTGGTTTTCAAAAAATGTAACATCAAAGGAGACATAGGTCTTTTTTGTGGAAGGTGAGTAACACTTGTAACCCTTCTGACTCGAAGAATAGCCCAAGAAAACACACTTGATGGACCTAGGATCTAATTTCCCTCTATTGTGGATATGAACAAAGGCTGTACACCCAAACACCCGTGGAGAAAGACTTGAGTTTAAATGTTTAAAATGGGGATAAAGCTAAAACAAAACCTTAGTAGGAATTTTGAAATCTAAGGTCTTACTTGGCATTCTATTGATGAGGTAAGTGGCTGTAAGAAGAGCTTCCCCCCAAAGATACTTAGGAGCATAAGCAGCAAACATAAGAGATCGAGTAACCTCTAGAAGATTTCTATTTTTCCTTTCTGCTACCCCGTTTTGTTGAGGTGTGTTGACACAAGAAGTAAGGTGGACAATGCCTTTTTCCTTAAAGAAATACCCAAGGGTTTTATTCAAGTACTCACTCCCATTGTCACTCCTTAGAATTTTGATTTTTGAGTCAAATTGGGTTTCAACTTTTTGATAAAAACTTTTAAAAAGAGACTCAACCTCAGACTTTTCTCTCATTAAGAATACCCATGTTGTCTTAGAGTAATCTATAAAAGATACAAACCACTTATACCCAGAAATACTTTTGACAGGAGAAGGGCCCTAAATGTTACTATGGATGATGGAAAAAGGTGTTGTTGGTTCAAATTTGGCTGCAATATATGGTTTTCTGGTGTGTTTGGCTATTTGACAAATTTCACAGGAAAACAAAGAAGGATCTTTATTTATAAATAAGTTTGGTAACATTTTGGAAAGATAGAAAAAACTAGGATGACCTAATCTAGAGTGCCATAACATAATTTTATTGGTATTGAGATCAGAAGATAAAACTGGTTTTCTAAGAGCACTGGATAAGGCATGATTTTGAGATGCTTGACCTCCAACGGTGTACAATCCTTTGCCCAGCCTAGCACTGCCAATCACCCTCTTCGAGTCCTGTGCCTGAAAAATACAACCACCAGTACCAAACACAACATTACAACCATAATCTTGAATTAATTTGCTGACTGACAACAGATTGCATGCAAGTTTAGGAACATAGAGGACATTATGAAGTAGTAGATTTTTGTTTAATGTAACAGAACCACTCCCTTTGACTGTAGTGAGAGAGCCATCTGCTATTTTTATAGAGGCTGGTAAGCTGCTTTCACTATATTCCTCCAAGAGATCAACGTTTCCTGTCATATGATCTGATGCACCCGAGTCTATTATCTATTGTAATGAGGAAGTATATGAATGATTACCTTCAGTAGCAGTATAAGCCACATTGGTAGGTTTGGCTATCATACTGCTCAAAATCTGTTGCAGCTCCTCTATCTGTTTCTTGCTAAAACTGCTGGAGGAATCATCTTGAGAGGCAATATGGGCCTCTTTTTGAAACCTGGACCCTGTGAGCTGCCGATCGACTGGTTTTCCGTGCAACTTCCAACATTGATCTATCATATGGTCTGGTTTCTTACAATGTTCACACCAGGGGCGATTTTTCCTCTGTTGGTTCCTAGAGGTGGAACTAGTGACAAGTGCAGAAGCATCTGTTCGTTGAACTGGTGGCACCATCAGAGATCGTCGGCTTTCCTCCCTCCGAATCTCTGAAAAAACTTCTCGGACCAAAGGAAGGGGTTTGGTGGCAAGAATCCTTCCTCTTGCTCCATCGAACTCTCCATTCAGTCCAGATAGAAACTGAAAAACTCTCCTCTGATTTGTCTGCCTGTTGTAGAAGTTGCTGTCTTCCTGGCACTTCCATTCATTCTTTTCATATAAGTCGATTTGCTGCCAATACTTGTTGAGAATTCCGAAGTACTGTGCGACAGTAAGGTCTCCTTGTCTGAGATCTTTAATGTGATTCTCAATCCCAAAGAGCTCCGATGTATTGTCAGCACTGGAATAAGTATCTCGCGCTGCATTCCAAATTTCTGTAGCAGTTTGGTATAGCATGAAATTCTCCCCTACTTCAGGAATCATGGAATTTATTAACCATGACATTATCATGGTATTTTCACTCTGCCATGTGTTGTACTTTGGGTCTGTCTCTTCTGGAATCGACATTGAGTCAGAAAGATAGGCAATTTTCCTTCTTCCTGTGATATATAGCCATACGGACTGGGACCATGGTAGGTAGTTGTTTCCATTTAGTTTGTAGGAGGTTATCGGTGAAAGAGAGGAATCTGAAATCTGAAAATCAAATTGATAGGGGCTGATCTGGGAAGTGATTTCAGATGCTGAGGGATCCGGATTAACCATGAAAAAAAAATAGAATTGAACAGGAACTGATTTAAAGAGAAGCGGAAATCGGATTGATCGTTCTAACCTGATACCATGTAGAAAACAGACTGTAGAAAACAGAATAGTCTGTTATGTTTTCTTATTTCATTCAGTAGAGTATATTACATATTTATATACAAATAATGCCTCTAAACTAGGAAACTCTAAATTAGGAAATATACTAATCCTAGAAGATGCAATCCCTTGAAACAAGGAATTGAAAAAACAAAGCATAATTACAGAATCTCTTAATTTAAGGAATTGAACAGCTCATTTCTATAATTCCTACAACTTTACATAACCTACAATTTCCAAATAATTTCAGACCTAAACCCAGACCTGCATAATCCCCACATTCAAAAAATAAATAAAACTCAATTCCTTCAGGATCAGTATTAAATTAAAGAATTTGGCAATGAATCATAACCCCCACTACCAAGGAAGAATTACAAATGGCATATTACTTCTCCCAATAAAAAAGGAAAATTACAAATTTAATACAATGAGACAAATGTGGCATCAAGCATGCAGCATCAACTACTTTACAATTACCTTTCTAACTGGCAGACAGAAACTGATGCAATTTTGAAACCAGGCAGAACACCCTCATCTCTTGCAACGACCTTTTGTTTACTCTCTATGCTCAATCTTGATGGTTGTTTATTGTCTATGCTCAAACTTGATGGCTCTTCGACCTCTTCCATGTATGTTTCCTCAAAGTCATAACCTAAGATAGCAACCCTACCTTCATCTTAAACTTAAACTGAACCAATAACCTGAGGATGAGTAGGCAAATTAATGATACAATCAGTCCCCATGAATACCAGCAACTAATGAAAATTTTTGGCACTCCATGAATCCAAGATAAAAACTGAACGCCAAAAACTAGTTTAATCATATCTTCAACCCGGACAAAGAGGATACTGATTAATCAGAGTCGGTATATCAACAACATCAATTAGAGAAACATTAATTTTCATCACAATATGAAAAATAAGAAACATTCCACCAAGAGAACCTTATAGCTATAAGACAAGGATTTCAGAATAGTTTTGAACACAAAAGCCCAGATAGATAAGGAAGGTAATACCACATTCTGAAGAAACATCTCTAATGAATGCATGCAACTCCAAACCCTTCCTTTGAAAAGGGAAAAAATGAAAAATGAAAACAGAAATGAGTTCTAGACTCCCACATTGACAAATTCATATGGTAGCATTGGCGACCAGTTTTTCTAGGGGGCAATGAGAGCAGATGAATGATTACAAGACGCAGGCTCACAAAAAGTGAACTTACCAGAAGCATAGACATCCTCATCTTCAACATCATATTCTTCAAGTGCACCAATTCCAAATCCAGGAGCAGCTTTTCCTGCTGGTGTAGAATTAACTTCTATTAAGAAATAATTCATGCATGCAAGGAAATATGGAGAAAGGTGAATCATTACAAAAATGCAAGCACAAGGACTTGAAAAGGTGTGCTTGCAAGAAATTAGAACCTACACTTGGAACCAAAGAGACTATCTTTTATTGACATAGCTCTCCTGTACCCATGCTGCTTATCATTCCACAAGTCCAATCTCTTATTTTCTGAAAGCATTTACAAACAGAAGGAATAAAAGTCCAGTAAGAAATCATTCTTCTGAGAATGACACAAATAGTTAATAAATGGTGGTCCTTCAAGCAATCACATACCCCTGAATTCAGGAGTATGCTTGAATGGATCATACCCTAAACCATGCAAGTCCTGCTTAGGGTTACACACAAAAGCCTGCAGCACAAAATAATTACAGAAAAATAACTTGATTGATTTCAAAGTGTCAAAAAATCAATCTATCTCTCTCTCTTGATGTGGTTTAAGAGAGGGGGGACAGTTACAAATGAATAGAATTATGACTGAACAAACGCATAAGACGGACGGAACTTCAGAAAACATACTGTTATAAAAACCTCTAGTTTCTATTTACTCAATAAAATAATAAAAATAATCATGTTGGCTGTAAAGCCTACAGCTTATTTATATAGGTCGTCTTTCTTGCAACTAAAGTTAGTATGCTTTCTTGCACATAAAGTTTTAATCCTAACCCTAGATTTGAACCCTAAAAATAATTAATAACCCTAAAAATATTTAATAGTTATACCCTTACATGTCTATCATGTCAAATAATTAATAAATATTATAAAATGAAAATGAAATAATAAAATATTATAAAATAAATAAAGCTCCTACATCTTTCTACTAGGCTTGGAAAACTCAACTTCAACGAGAAAACTTCCACCACTTCAGCATAATTTTCTTTTATCAATCACTTTCAGCTCTCCAACCAATCAAGAACTTTGACTAACTGTTTTGCCTAGCTGTGTAACCAAAAAACTATTATATTAATTCCCTTTCTAAACCTACCTTTTTAACATTGACCACATCTTCCATAACATCTGTTTTAGCCTTAGGAAGCTTCTGCACCCAGTTCTGTGGACGGTCACAAAAAATAGAATCTGGGGGAGCACCGTCTCCTAAGTGATGCAAATGTTTAATAGTCCTAGAAACTTAGGTTGAACAACATTTTCCAAGACGAAAACAATCACAGAAAAAAACTCCAATCTCAACTTTCAGGCCAACTCGAATCCTTGACACCAGACTAATTGAAATAGAGCAAGAAATCTGAAAAACAATCATAAGAGTTGAAGCACCGTTCCTCAATAGCAATATAGATGAATATTGCTTTATGGCACCTAAAAACCACACAAGTGATGTCTCAGAGTGAAAATGAGCTTCAAACATAAAGTCCTCATTATTTTTTGATAAAAGTTGGAGGACTCATTAAAAATTCCCTTCGTATTCGTCCACATACTAAGATGTATGTTAACGAACATTGGAAGAAAGAAAAGAGTACCTCATAGTTTATTGAATAGAACACCCAATACATATGAAAACACGGAACACCCTCATACGGGGATATACACCATTACAAAAAAAGAATAACCTAAAACTCTCACATCCTCAACCACAAAACCTAAGAGAAAATCACCCTAATTCTAAGTTACATCTCCAACACAAGGAAAAAACAACGCAGAATGACATAACATAAAAGAAAACCAACACCTACTACCATTATAACTAAATCAACCACCTCTGAATAGAACACTGACAGGACCATCAAATATCCCTCGAAACAAGATCTAATGAGATATCGACTTCGTCAGGGACCCAAGACTTTGGTTTGAAGGAAGGTTCAATTTCATGCACCATGATTTTGAAGAAATTATCACTGACCATCAACTCCAACGACTCATCAATTCTTACATGAGCCTTTGTGAGGATTTGAATTTTTGCCCTATCAAAAGATGATGGAAACTGACAGCTTTCGTCGATTGCTAATAATTTACCCCACTTATCTGCAATGTTTTTGAAAGTATCCTAATTCCAAGCGTGAAAAGGAACCCCTCGCAAACTAACCACACTCGACGGCACTCCACCACCAGACTCTCTGACCAAACTTCAACTCTAGAAAACCACTTTGCAAGAGTCTCTGATTTATCGTTCTTCACACTTCTCAACGAAGCAGAGTCTTCAAAAACCATTAGAATTACATTTCCACCAACTCTCATTAGCGAGAAACCAAAGAGGCATTTGGCTTGCATTTGACTAGCAAGATTACCGATTTTGATAAAGTTCTTGCACCACCCCACTAGACATTTACTCAACACATGAAGTTTATCTTCGTCCACCACACCTTCAACTTCACAGTGATTATCCCTCGAAACAACTTCCATCCCAGACTTACGGTGAACAGCTGTCGAGGACTTTCTCCAGTAAGATTGTCGATGTTTGAATTTAGCCAAAGAAACACCAATTTTGTTATCGTCAATATGAGAACCATTCATTTTTTAGATCGCTTTCCTTGCTTCTTTGATTGTTGCAAAACGAATGAACCCTTTTTGAATTTCTCTTGTTTGGAATGAAAGAATCAATTACCCGACCGTGGGTGCAAAATAAAGATCCAAACCTCTTCCAATGGATCTTCTTTGGTAAATTTTCAATAAATAGCGTGTAGCATCCAATTTTATACCCATTATTGGTTTTTGGATGACCTTCCTTCCACCAATTATTAAACTCGATTCTCCCAATTCTTGCTACTTCACCAGACTTGTCATTACAACACCCCTTTGTGGTGGACTCCCTGGTTCCATCGTGGACAACATCTGCGGCAGACTTGTCATCGAAACACCCAGCCTGAACAGGCACATAAATGCTTGGAGCTACGGTATTGGCATCACTGGAGGAACTTGATAACATCCATACGGGTCATATGCATCAGAATCTGTAACTATTCCTCTTTTAACCAATAGATTCTTCTTTGCCATCTCTATGTGCAAAAGGGACTTCGACTTGGCATCAAAAACTATTTCCTGAAGGGTATCCTTGGCATTGCAAATTTTTCATTTGAGAAGAGAGCGAAACCCATAGGCTTTCCTCCTTTGTAGTTCACTTGCGAAGCTTCAAAACCTGGAAGCCATCTCAATAAATTATGCAACTCTCTCTCTTTGAAGTCTTCAGGCAGATCCGTAATGAAGATAGTATGAACCTCGTCATGATGAGAGGGATCAGGTGGCAGAGAAGGCGCAGCTACAGAGGGCGGAGGAGCTTGGACCGGAGGCCACTACTGGTGATAAGGGTGGATTCCAGCACCCGGCATGTGAGGAATGACTATAAAGTAGGCTCCTGAAACTCTAAACCAAGACATGAGGACGGAGAGAGATTTGATCTCTCGTTTGTTGGTTTGCCAGGAAGAGATTGGTCAGAAATCGGGAGACGCAAATTTTTTCTTCTAGATCTACTCCAATCTATTTCGATTTTGAAAAAACCAGTGTCTGATCCATGCTTGGGGTGAAGAGAGGATTCAAATGGTGGCCGACCACTGGGTTATGAAAGGAGTGACGCCGGGGAGTGTGGATAAGGTTTTCAAAGAATGAACTTTTTTAAAATCGCCTGGAATCAAGAGAGAAGCGGGAGCTTCTCTCACTAGAAAATAACTGCTATATCCTATTTACAACTTTCTTGAATTTCATCCACTAGCAACTTTCTTGAAAACCCACTAGAACTCAATTTACAACAACTTTCATATTGTTTGCTAGTAGTTTTCTCTAAAAAGACTGCATCTTCTTCTCATCATAATTAGCCTTCAAGTATTCTTGCTTTTTCTTGAGTTCTACATTGAATCCTCTCTCAAGAAAATCTATTTCAGTTGTAGATACCGAAACATCTCTTTTTATTCCACAATCATCATCTGCCATTGTGTCCTTCGAGATATCAAAAAGATTCTGACTCACTTCCAATCTTCCTCTTCTTCTAAGGCTTTGGTTTTCATCACTCTATGTAAAAACAAAAACTCTCCTTAAACCAGATACACATCAACTTCTTTAGTTTCCTCAAGATATTCATCATAGATTGGTTCTAACATATCATAATCTTTCTCGTCCACATGTATCTTGCCATGAAAAGCATTAACTTCAATGTTAATTCAACACTCGCTTAATTCAAGATCATGTACCAGCTGCCCCTCCAATCTACCTCAAACCACACAATTGCAGGTCCAACATCATGGAAGGGGTTTTCTACATCACCAAAATTTGATTTATAAACAAGCCTCCCTTCCGGTATGTTGGCCGCTCCCACTTGTTCATGCCACAGTTGAGCATAAATTGCATACAACAATTCCTAATTCGTACATTTTCGTGCAGCCAATTCTATTTCCTGAGATTAATTTCCTCTTCATCAACCACTAATGCATCTATTCATGGCTCAAAAGCAAACCCAGGGATCTAATTAGGCTCTAAAATTACTAGGCTTCCTTCCAAATAAGGTTTTAATCCTAACCATAGATTTAAATCCTAAACCAATAACCCTAAAAATATTTAATAGTCTCAGCCTTTGTCATTTATCATCTGCCCAATAATTAATAAATGTTGTAAGTTTAAAATGAACGAACAAAATAAATAAAGCTCATGCATCATCTCTTATTCAAGCCCACAAAAGCAAGCATATTGATAGCAATTTTAACCTCCAAAGCTTAAGAAGATACTAGCTGCAAATTCTAATATATATACATATGTACCAAGCTAAAACACTACAAATATTCTTTCCCAGCATTTCAAATAAAAAAATAAAATATCAACATTCCCACAAATGGAGCAAGTATTAATGGGCCAAGAGAAACTGCTTTTGAGCTTGTTATAACAACCCCCCAACACACAATATTATAAAAATAAAAGACATTCATGGTTAGGTAAAGGGTCATAAGGATCAAAGCAGGAGTAATGGTACTAGTGACAAGGAGAACTTCTCACAGGTAAGCTTTGAGAAGATCGAGTATCATTGTCAGAAGGCTGCACAGTGAAGCTTTCAGGTTCTTCAACAGGCTCATCAGCAGGATTTGATGCCTTCGCATCCTCAGAAGCAAATGCTAGAAAAGCTTTTCTAGCTTCTCTACGAGGATCTGTAGTCAGTAAAAAGATAAGAATATTCAGCCAAAAACTTATCCCCTCAAATACAAAAGCTTTGCACTAAGAAAAACATATAAATATCCATCTTTGCTATACAACATAATGGAATCGGCAAGTACATGAAGAGGTTTCCATCAATAAATAGGTAAGAGTCAATATAGTTATTTTTAAGAGGTGTGAAGATAGAGGATAGAAGCTTAAGATTGAAAAATAGTAAAGAACAAGAAGTTGAAAAATCTAGTAAAAGACAGTGTCTATTGTTTCAGATAAGGAATGTATTCTTAGATTGATACTGTAGAATTATTTGGAGTTTAGTTTGAATGCATATCTGTTTGAGTGTTAGAGGGCCGAAATTAAGGAAATCTAGAGTTAAACAGATCAGTATTTTGTTCCATATTTTTAGGGGATTCTGGTAGCTTGTTACCATATCCGTATATATTTATTTCCTGTTTATTTATTTCTGTTTTAGATAGATTTGACCTTATTCTAGGTAAGTTGCATATATCCCTAGAAATTAGGTGTTTCAGCATCTATATATATAGGGAACGTGTAACCTGTTTTAATATATTGAAAATAATAAAGAATTCATCTACTTTCAACATGGTGTCAGAGCATTCTCTGAACCCTAAATACCTTATATGACCAAATACGGGAGAAGTGACTCAACTGCTTCCGTGTCCCAAATCACCTCCAACCACGTAGCCATGGCCTCCAATAACAGTAGTGGAGATAGCAATCTCATGCCCATTACAGGACACAAACTGAATGGGAACAACTATCTCCAATGGTCCCACTCTGTTATGATGTTCATAAGCGGAAGAGGAAAGGATGATTATCTCAAAGGCGTGGCTGCCAAGCCAAGCCAGGATGATGAGAAGTTCAAAATCTGGAATTCCGAGAATAATATGGTCATGTCATGGCTCATCAATTCCATGACAAATGAAATCGAAGAGAACTTCCTACTCTACAGAACAGCAAGGGAAATCTGGGAGGCTGCAAAGGAGACGTATTCCAACAGTGACAATACATCTGAGCTGTTTGAAGTGGAGAGTGTTCTCCATGACTTCCGTCAAGGAGATTTAACAGTAACCCAGTACTTCAATACACTCGACCGCTATTGGCAACAGCTGGACTTGTTCGAGGAGCACAATTGGAGCTGTCTAGATGATGGAATCAAGTATAGACAGATCATTGAACGGAAGAGAATATATAAGTTTCTGATTGGATTAAATAAAAATCTAGATGAAGTAAGAGGAAGAATCTTGGGATCTAAACCTCTACTTAATATCCGGGAGGCTTTTTCTGAAGTCCGGAGAGAGGAGAGTCGAAAGAAAATCATGATGGGCTCTCAAGAACCAATGACAAGTCTTAAGAGCTCAGCCCTTGCTGTTAGAGGGAACTCCTACAACACCAATGACACCAAACCAAAGAAAGGACGCCCTTGGTGTGATCACTGCCGCCGACCTAGTCACACCAGGGACACTTGCTGGAAAATTCATGGTAAGCCTGCAGATTGGAAGTCTTCCCGGTCTGCCAACGACAAAGAGGGGCGAGGCAATTTTGTCTCAATGGATGACAAACCTTCACCTGAACCTACTCCATTCAGCAAGGAACAATTAGAGGTTCTACAGAAGCTATTCAACCAGTCTTTGCATGCCCAAACCTCCACTGTGGTTGGTACTGGATCCTTAGCCCAAAAAGGTAATTTTTTAAGCGCTCTCAATGTTAAAAAAGAGACGTCAAATCCATGGATTATAGATTCTAGAGCTTCAGACCATATGACTGGAAATGAGGACCTATTTTCTACTTACAGTCCATGTGATAAACACTTAACGGTCAGAATAGCCGATGGTTCACTCTCAAAAGTGGTTGGTACAGGTTCTATTAAAGTATCAGAGAATATTACACTTGAATCAGTTCTTCTTGTGCCAAATTTGAATTGCAATTTACTGTCCATTAGTAAACTTACTCGAGACCTGAATTGTGTGACTAAATTTGGTTCAACCATGTGTGAATTTCAGGTCTTGGACTCGGGGAAGACGATTGGCAGTGCTAAAATGTGCTCGGGACTCTATCTTCTCGAGGTTACAAATCCTCCTCAAGGCACAACTTATCAGTCCGATCGTCTAGTGTATGGTAATCCTACTTTTTCTGTCAATTGTTCTAATAATGATAGTGCAATCATGTTATGGCACTATAGATTAGGTCATCCGAATTTCTTGTATCTTGAGAAACTGTTTCCTTCTCTATTTCATGATAAAAATCCAAATGAGTTCAAGTGTGAAATTTGTCAATTCTCCAAACATGTCCGTAATTCTTATCCCAACCAATCTTACAAAGAATCCCATCCTTTTTCAATGATTCACAGTGGTGTTTGGGGTCTATCTAAAATAAAAAATGTGACTGGTTCCCGTTGGTTCATTACATTTATTGATGATCACACTCGGCTTACATGAGTCTTTCTCATGAAAGAAAAATCAAAGGCAGGTCGGATTTTCAAAAACTTCAACACCATTATACACACTCAATTCCAAGCCAAAATCCAAATTCTGAAAACTGACAATGCCAAAGAATACTTCAAATTCATACTCAATGATTATCTCTTGAGTCATGGCATCATTCATCAAAGCTCATGTGTCAATACCCCTCAGCAAATGGAATTGCTAAAAGGAAAAATCGCCACCTTCTAGATGTTGCAAGATCTCTTATGTTTTCTACTCATGTACCGAAACATTTCTGGGGTGAAGCTATTCTCACTGCGGCATACCTCATAAACCGGATGCCATCTAGGATTCTCAACTTTCAAAGTCCTTGTCAAACCTTACTTCAGTTTTTCCCAAATACACGTCTCATCTCCACTATTCCCTTCAAGGTTTTCGGGTGTTCAGCCTTTGTTCATGTCCATCAAAATAAAAGGGATAAACTTGATCCTAGAGCACTTAAGTGTATCTTCCTTGGGTACTCTCCAACTCAAAAGGGGTATAAGTGCTACTCACCGGTCACTAAACAGTACTACCACTCCATGGATGTTACCTTTTTTAAGCACCAACCTTACTACCCCAAATCTGATATTCAGGGGGAGACCAATTATACCCAGGAATATCAAATTTGGGATATTGATGAATCAGTTCAGCTCTCTCCAAATCCTGACCAATCTCACCCATCACCAAATTCTAAGCATCTCTCCCTAGAATCTTCCTACCAAAATCTGGACACTAGTAAATCAACAACTAATAATGAGTTGATTACCTATTCACGGAGGAGGATGAACCAAAAGGAGATGGAACCACCAACACCTCTGCAACAAAACCAAGAATCTGATCCTAGTCCAAGATCTTGTGAAGATCCAACACCTCTGCAGCAAAACCAAGAATCTGATCCTAGTCCAAGATCTTGAGAAGATCCTTCAGGTAATCCTAATCTTGAGCCCTCACAGAATGAACTAACTGGTGATGAAAGTGATTATCCTATTGTTGTGTGGAAAGGGGTTAGAACTTGCACAAAACATCCTATATACACCTTTATATCATATGAAGGCCTGTCACCAAAATTCAAGTCGTTTGTTGCCAACCTCGACAACACTCAGGTCACAAATAACATACAAGAAGCTCTTGGATCTCCCGAGTGGAAAGTTGCTGTGCATGAAGAAATAAATGCACTGGAAAAGAATGGCACCTGGGAAATATCAGAATTACCATCGAAAAAAAGGCCAGTAGGATGCAAATGGATATTCTCAATCAAGTACAATGAAGATGGAAGTGTTAATCGTTTCAAGGCACGGCTAGTGGCAAAGGCATTCACTCAATCGTATGTAATTGACCATGAGGAAACATTTGCCCCAGTAGCCAAGTTAAACACAGTTCGGGTTCTCCTATCTCTAGCTGCAAATCTTGATTGGCCCCTTCACCAACTAGATGTCAAGAATGCCTTTCTAAATGGGGACTTAGCTGAGGAAGTTTACATGGAAATCCCTCCAGGATTTGAGACACCGAAAACTGACAACAAAGTTTGCAAACTTAAAAGATCATTATACGGGCTCAAGCAATCACCAAGGGCTTGATTTGAGAGATTTACCAAGGTAATAAAGAATCATGGCTATTCTCAATGTCAATCAGATCACACCTTGTTTGTCAAACACTCATTTACAGGAAAACTGGCTATCCTCATTGTATATGTGGATGACATTATCCTAACAGGAGATTATGAGGAAGAAATCAATACTACCAAAGGTCTTCTAGCTAAGGAATTTGAAATCAAGGACCTTGGACAGCTCAAATACTTCCTAGGAATGGAAATTGTAAGGTCAAGAAAGGGAATTTGTGTTTCCCAAAGAAAATACGTACTGGATCTATTAAAAGAAACTGGGATGCTTGGATGTAAGCCAGCGGACACACCTATGGATTCAACAACAAAATTAGGCACTAAAGAAAATTGTGCACCGGTGGATAAAGGCAGATTCCAAAGGCTAGTGGGTAAACTAATCTACCTTTCTCACACACGACTAGACATTGGTTTTTCTGTCGGCATGGTAAGTCAGTTTATGAACAATCCAAATGAAGAACATATAGAGGCGGCGTATAGAATCCTAAGGTATCTGAAGCTAACACCAGGGAAAGGATTATTTTTTGAGAAGAATCAAAGAAGAGACAGAGGTGTTCAATGATGCAGATTGGGCAGGATCAGTACAAGACCGAAGATCAACTTCAGGATATTGTACTTATGTGTGGGGAAATCTAGTCACATGGAGAAGTAAGAAGCAATCAGTGGTGTCAAGGAGCAGTGTAGAAGCTGAATTTCGGACAATAGCCCATGGTATTTGTGAGGGAATATGGCTAAGAAGGGTACTAGAGGAATTAAGAATTTCTAGTGAAGAACCTATGAAGATGTTCTGTGATAACCAATCAGCAATCAGCATTGCCAAGAATCTAGTCCATCATGATAGAACTAAGCATGTGGAGATTGATCGGCACTTTATAAAGGAGAAGATAGAGGAAGGGATGATCAAAATGCTATATGTACCCACATGTCATCAAACAACCGACATTCTTACTAAGGCTCTACCAAGAAAGACTTTTGATGATCTAACTTCCAAGCTGGGGTCAAATTAACATTTACCATCCAGCTTGAGGGGGAGTGTAGAATTATTTGGAGTTTAGTTTGAATGCATATCTGTTTGAGTGTTAGAGGGCCGAAATTAAGGAAATCTAGAGTTAAAAAGATCAGTATTTTGTTCCATATTTTTAGGGGATTCTGGTAGCTTGTTACCATATCCGTATATATTTATTTCCTGTTTATTTCTTTCTGTTTTAGATAGATTTGACCCTATTCTAGGTAAGTTACATATATCCCTAGAAATTAGGTGTTTCAGCATCTATATATATAGGGAACGTGTAACCTGTTTTAATATATTGAAAATAATAAAGAATTCCTCTACTTTCAACAGATACCTAGGGGTTGCAATTGTGAGGCAGATAAGTTAGCAAAGGAGGGGATTGGGTGATTGTTAGATTAATCAATTTTCTGTTTTATGTATTTATAGGGAACAGTTGTTAAGTTGTTTGTTTAAGTCTTATGTAATATGTTTTATTCAGCAATTTATATTTGAATTTCAAACCTAGTGAGAGAAGCGCTTCTCTCTTGGTTCAAGATGATTTTGTTTTCATCCACCATTTCATCTTTACCATCGCCGTCCGCCGCCCGTCGTCCTCCGCCACACTCTGTCATACATTCGACGCAGATCTAAACACGTTTTTCACCGTTTCACGCCGTCGTCCGTCGCCAATACAACTTCATTCCGCTGGGCTCGCCGTTCACTCGCGAACAAATCCCATCTATCCTAGCGCCCAGACTCGTTGCCTTTCTCTGTGATTCAGTCTTTGACCAGTTAGACAAAAACAGAACAAGCCATGGTTCTGCGCCAAGTTGTTCTCCCGATCTAAACCACCTCTCAAGGTTTGGTTGAAGGACAACTTCATAGTTTCATCTTCCCTTGGGCTCAAGATCTACCTGTTGGACTCTCTTCATCAGCTCCACCCGTCTCTTCTTCGCCTGTAGTCACAACATTCTCCATCGCCGGGCACGCATCCAGGAAGGTTCGTCAAGTCTGAGTTTTTAACTTCAACAGTTTCATCACATGTCGGGTGCTGGATTCCATTGTTCTCTCCAGCAGAGACCTCCGGTCCAAGCTCCTCCACCCTCTGCAGCCGCGTCTTCTCCGCCATCTCATCCTTCTCATCATGACGAGGTTCGTACTATCTTCATTATGGGTTTGCCTAAAGATGTCAAAGAGAGAGAGCTGCAGAATTTACTGAGATGGCTTCCAGGTTTTGATGTTTCGCAATTGAGCTACAAGGGAGAAAAGCCCGAGGGTTTCGCTCTCTTCTCAAATGCAAAATTTGTAGTTGCTGCTAAGGATGCCCTTCAGAAAATGGTTTTTGATGCTATGTTGAAGTCCTTTTTGCACATTGAGATGGCAAGGTAGAATCTTGTTGTTAAAATAGGATTAGTTACAGATCCTGATCCAAATCCAGCTTCTGTAGCATCTCCTAATATTCATGTGCCTGTTAAAATTGGGTGTTGCGATAAAAAGTCTGAAGTAGATGGTGTCCACGAGGGAACCAGGGAGCCCACCACAAAGGGGTGTAGTAATGTCTCTGGATGCTACACGTTATTTTTTGGTGTTTCTTTTGCTAAATTCAAACCTCGACATTTCTATTGGAGAAAGTCCTCGACAGGTGTTCACCGCAAGTTCGAGATGGAAGATGATTCGAGGAAGAATCATTATAAAGTTGAAGGCGTTATAGATGAAGAAAAACTTCAGGTGTTGAGCAATTGTCTAGTGGGGTGGTGCAAGGACTTTATCAAAATCGATCATCTCGCTAGACAAATGCATACGAAGGGCCTCACTAGCTTCTCCTTAATGAGAGCTGTTGGTAATGCGGTTTTAATGATTTTCGAAGACTCTGCTTCATTGAGAAGTGTGAAGAACGACAAATCAGAGACTCTCGCAGAGTGGTTCTCCCGAGTCAAAGCTTGGTCAGAGAGTTTGGTAATGGAGTGTCGTCGAGTATGGTTAGTTTGCGAGGGTGTTCCTTTTCACGCATGGAATTGAGATACTTTCAAGAACATTGTTGATAAGTGGGGTCATTTACTAGCAATCGACGAAAGCTGTCAGTCACCATCATCCTTTGATCGGGAAAAAATTCAAGTCTTCAAAAAGACTGATGCGAGAATTGATGCGACGTTGGAATTGAAGGTTTGTGACATCTCCTTCAAGATCATGGTGCATGAGATAGAGCCTTCATTCAAACCAAACTCTTGGGCTCCTGAAGAAGACGAATATCATTAGATCTCGTCTCTCCAATTGTGGTTTTGATTTAGTTTACATGGGTACAGGTGTTGTTTTTCTTTTGTATTATGTTCTGTTGCGTTGTTTTAATCCTATTGCTGGAGGTGTAATTAGATTTAAGGTGATTCGACTGTGGCTCTGGATGAGGATTTATGAGGTTAAGGTGTTTGTTGTAATGGTGTATATCACCATAGGAGGATATTTCGTGTTGTCTTTTGTATTGGGTATTATTATTAATAAACTATGAGGTACTCTTTTTTACCTTCCAATGTTCTTTAACATACTTCTTAGTGTGTGAACGAATACGAAGAGAGTTTTTAATGAGACCTCCAACTTCTATAAAAAAAAATGTTTTATTCAATAATATATTGAGGTACTCTTTCCCTCCTTCCGCTAGTCAGTTCTTTCCTTAGGGAATAGGACTGCTATGAGGGAGGTATTTAATGAGGCCTCCGACTTCTATAAAAAAAAGAAGTTGAAAAATCTAATAATTCATCATATTATCATAGAACATGTAGGTCTTAATACATTCAAATTGCATGTTCAACCTATGTTGCTCAGACTCAACTACTTGTGCCGAACTCAGTATGCATCTAGATGTCCAACTTGTCAATTGAATTAAACTCAAGTCACCGGAAAACGACACAAAAAGAATTGAAAGGACATTGGTACAAGGACTCCCTTTATATGTACTGAAATATTAAATATGTCTATAATACATCAATATTTTATATATAAAAAAAACCCTACTATATTTTGGAGTGTATTTAATTAACAACGCTTTTTAATACTTTATATACTACTTTCCACTTCGAAAACCAAGACTTCAACCTATTCTTATCTCTCCTCGCCCAGTCACCAAGAGTCCAACATATCCAACCCATATCATTTACCCTTATCTTATCCTTTGTGTCTTTTTGTGTTGTGTCGACAACTCAACACAGGTGAGGCTCCCATTTTGTTGAGTCCAAGCAGCAGAGGGTTTAACATAAAGCTTCTCAAATTTATTCTGCCAAAAGAGCTAGAAATCGGACAAAATAAATAAAACGATGTGAACATAGACCAAATTACCATATAATGAACTAGCACGCGAGTCATTGATTGCACGACCATGTCGCCATCCCATCTTCCGCAGCAATAGTAAGCCTAATCAGAAAAGTAAGATGAGGCATAAGTTGCTGATTTCTCCGGTAAACTACTTTGTCGCTAAGGATTTATAAATTCACAAATTACAGCAAACCTATAGACTCAGAAGCTGGAAGGACAAGTTCATCGGGAACAGGACCAGGAATTGCAGATGGCCTACAGGAAACACAGAGAACTAAGAGGCCAGTATATAATTGAAAATATTTCTGGAAGTACAAAGGACATGCAAATCAAACAGTTTGCAGATGCATGAGTGCAGATGCATGAGTGCACATGCCATGAGATGCAAATTCATGAGCTCACATGTCCGTGGTGAAGAAGAATACTAGATAATGAAGGTGGCCGTGAATAATGATTATTGTAATGCAACAGGATGTCATCAAGAGACCAATATCAAATAACATGAATATTGTTGTGATATGAAACATTGGTTGCCTTAAGTCAGGAATAATAGCAACCATATGCGATGTTTTCATATCCAACAAAATGAGCTCAAATCTTCTTCAGCATAAGGAGCAAAAAAGGACAAGAAGAGATGTTGGGTTGGAATCAATAAAATTAAAAATTGATTCTTTTATTTGAAGCCAAAAAATAAGTCATGATTGTGGCAAAAACGAACAGTATTTTAAGAGCACTTAATTTTCAAAATATGAATTTCTATTGAGAACAAAGACCCTGAACAGTTTGCAATTTTAAGGCTCATATTTAGTGCTAATATTATTACAGGTACGAAGCATATACAATCATTTGACAGACCTTTGATTTTGCTCCTTATCAGCTTGTTTGCGAGCATACTCAACAGCTGTAAATCCAAATGTGTCGAACTGTGAAGATGTGCCCAAAGCACCTTCCAAATCCTAAAATACAAAAGCATGAAATATCGTAAACTAAAAAAAATAATAATCATCAGCATAATAATAATAATATTAATAATTCTAACAGGTAGAAGAAAAATGAAAACAACTTATCAAACTATCTATGAATGTAGATGAGAGGATGATATAATTAATAAACTGATTCTTGTTCAAACACCAACAATGTCTTAAAAGACAAAATATTGAGAGGCACATAGAACAATAATCAGTGAACACATTCAGTAGGTAGTGAAACTACTTTCAAAGACTTGTATATAGAATAACTATGTTATGATTCTAATCAAACTGTTTTATTATGAAGCATGAGCTACAGAAAATATCATGTAAATATCTCTGCTAGAGATTTTTCATTAATGAATGCGCAGAACAGATGTTTTATAACGTATCTGAATTCTAAAATGGAAAGATGCTTTAGAATTTAACCATCCCTTCTTTCGATACATATGAAAGGTTTATGAAGCAATTTAGTAGATAGCAGGGAACATCGAAAACCATGAAACCATGTCATAAAAATACATGAAGAGAAAGAACTTCGAAGAAAGATATACCAGAAGTAGGTGCACTATGCAGCCAAATATGCATTAAATCTCAGGCATATATGAATTATAAAGAAATCTTGCAACTCCATCTATGCAAATATAAGACCAATATATATGCATACAAATTCTTCACAGTGAAATAAAAAAATAATTCTAAATAAAAATTCAAACATAATTATTTTTGAAAATTAATAAGACAGACAAGTTTCCATAGCTAAACTTCAAAATCATGAAGGTCTAAATCTTTATTGGATGCCACACGTCAGAGTTTGGAATTTGGAATTTCAGATTTAGCAAAGGCAGCAAGAATTTTTCAAAAAAATTCTAAACTAGATTGTAAATTATTAAGGAAATAAACAGCCATGACCAAATGTAATTTTGGCTTAGTGCATGTAAAACCTAACAGACACGGCAACACCCCTATCCGCAGTCCAAGAAAATCATAAAAAGTGGGAAAACTAAATAGAACATACAGCTTTCTCATCTTCATCTAAAAAGCTAAAAATGTTCTGCTGTTTGACTTCAGCTCTGTTCTTCCGGGATGATGTAAATGATTGTGGGGCCCAGCCTGCAAATAAGTTTCAACACCCATTGAGCATGCTAGATGATTTCACTGCAAGTGAATCGAAGAAACTAGTTAAAATGAATACAGAGATATACCCTCTTTTGTGCCCACTGTATTGAAGTAACCAGCAGAAAATCCACCTGTAAATGCACCATGGAATCTTCTACGTCCTTCTTCATCTATAACCTTGAAAATTATAATTCAAAGATGATAGAAAGAAAGACTTTTGACCATGTATAACAAATAAATACTTACATGACTGCATAATATACCTTATCTATATTATTATATAATGGAAGTCAAAGAATTATTGAAGTATGGATAACACCACAAGAGAAACACATAAATATTCTCTTCATTTTAAAGCAATTCCAAGACAGTTTGTTTAGAATCAACTGGAAGGAATGTGAAATCCATAAAAGGCTTCCAGTCCTTTAAGGAACTAATTTAGCTTCAAATACTACCTAAAAGGAAACAATTCGCTTTGATAATGATATGGATCCAATTTATACAAAGAAACCTAAAAAAAACAAGTAGCTATAGATAAATAAATAACACTTAAAGAAAAAGTAAAAAGCCAAGTTCCATCCACTTTCATCCGTGATTTCTTTTATTTTCTTTTCCTCAATATTTTCACGGAAACCAAACAGTGTCTGAAAGCCACAACTTCTGTCTCAAGGGAAAAAAAGGAGAACTCAACATGGGATGGGTTCTAGGAAAGTTCAAATTTCTCACTTATAATCTCAGCAAGAAAATTTCACCCAAAAAAATGCAAAAGGAGGATGAAATTTATACCTCTTGTTTCCAGAGAGGGAGGGCGCGGAGGTTACCAGAAGCTTCAGCGGCGGCTTTTTTCCGACCGTTGGTGATCTCTTCCTCTCGCTGAATGGGTGTACCAAAGAACACGAAATCCTCCTCGTCTGAATCCATAATTTTCTTTTCCTAATCGTATGATTTCAGTGTCTAAATGAGAAAGAATAAAAAAAACATGGGAAAATGGCGGTTGATTGATTATAAAGGGATTTATTTTGAGGGATTGCTGGGCTCTTGAAAGCGCCGTTTGTAGTAGGGTCCGACCCAATTCAGACTTATGAAAGGCCAGGCCCTGGCACCATGACCCAATTCAGATACCTTAGATCGAACCAGACAACAACCAACAATGGCTTATAGTGGAATGTTTCCCGGGGCACTAAAATCTCAATACCAAAATCAAATTCAATCACCAGAGTTTAAAATTCAACTCATTAATGTAAGATTAAAAAATGACATAAATTGATTATAATTCAAAATTTTATTAAAAATATATATTTTAGGTTCAACATAGTAATATCTTAGATTAAAATAGAAAATATTATTTTTCATAATATTTTCGGTTGTAATCGAAATTATCATTAATTATATAACTTTTTAAGTTAAACTGAATACTATTTTAAATTAAATCTTACCTTAAATTAACTTTAAATTAGACTACTGCATAACCGATCTACTCGATCAACACTCGTGCTTTATTTAATTTATTGCTCATCGACTTTGAAGGGATAATTATGGTGATTGGACCAAAATAGAAACACAATCATAATTCAATGATCAAATAGACAGTTTGTCATTTTTAATGAACATTTATATTTGTTTGTAACTTTAGATCGCATATTCTTTTTAAGTAGGTTGATTTGATACTCAGATTGTTCGTTTAAGTTTTAAAAATTATTTAATATAAAATATAAAAAAATCGTTTCAAGTAAGATTGAAATTGATATTAATACAAATATTAAGATAATTATTTTTAATAGAATCCGCTAGTTTATTAAATTAAAAATACTCAAAATTACAATAAATGTTTACGACTATAATCATAAACTAAATACATAATTAGAATATTTTCTTTAATCAATAACACAAGAAACTAATCACTTGATATCATACAGAACCATATAAGGAAAAGGTTAAAACCCCAACTAAAATAATCGAACAAATATAGAGATGAATAGATCTGACTACATTGGTAAATGAACCATAAAATCTCTGAAAACGCCTTAGGCGGGTCCGCCACCAACTGCGTATAGATATCAATATGAAGTCCTTCGAGGAACCTCTTGTACCTCAAGAACTAGTCGTAACTAACTCTAGAGCATAACGATTCAATCGAAGAAAATCTCTTTAGTACTCGTACACTAAGGGATCTCCCTGAACTAGCTAGGTTAACTGCATCCTCAACCCATCCATGTGTGTTTCACTGATATGCTTGCCTCTAAACTCGTTCAGGAGCTTATCCCACATACACAACTAGTTGTAGAGTCATCTCTATAGTCTCATACCAGTTGATAACATCGCCCATGAGCAAAACAGCCACGCAGTCTAACTTACCCTTTAGGGTAAGGTGAAGCTGCCTCAAAGTCCTCATGTTTCAACCACTGATTGGCTGAAATCATATCATCATCATCTGAACCATAGAAGTTAATTGTCTTATACCTCCTTAGTTTCTCTACTGGGGACTTTATTGGTACTAATGTATTATGGGTGGTTGGTTGAACAGTTTGCGCTCTAGGAATGACGTCTATTATCTCCCTAAGTGTGGAAGTCAAACCTCAAAAGAATGTCACCTTTACGACTCCTACGTCTAACAGAATCCTCTGATTCTCTACCTTAGGCAAGAACTCTTCACTAACATTATCAAGATGAGAGGCTCAGCTCTCATCCTATCCTCAAGACCACACTCATAATTATCAACCATCACAAAACTCTACAACACATATTAAGAAAGAGAGTACCATCACGATTCCAGACTTATACAAGTACTTTAAGTACCTAATGGCATATATTCATTGACAATTTACTAAAATTGACCACTAGGTCCTATGACCAATTCAACCTGACGCTCTGATGCCACTAAATGTAACATCCTAAACCCAATTAGGCCTAAAGTGCCACATTGAGCTACCGAAATAACCCTAAATTTCAAAAACTATTCATTTAATTTCAAAACATAATACTTGGTATCAAAATAAACATACTCGACAGTTATAAAACATTTTATAAACCGGAGCTCCATGACACATTGTTTAAAATAAAAAATAATATAAACTTAGAATTCGATAAACCAAATACACTAGTATGGTTCTATGAATACATATGCCCACTAAAGTTACAGTACAATACTTTGAAGGAGATGTTGGAAGTCCTATTGCGACGGTGCTCCACGAACGGCTCAAGCTACTGACCTACAAACGGAAAACATCCAAATGTTGAGCTTACAAAGTCCAACAGTATAATCGTTAATCTAGAGCAACATTATGAGTTTCATAAACATAAGCATGTTAAAGATGTGGTACTAAGTAGTAGGTACATGCATGATCTTAATCAAATGTTATCTATTTAAGGTTTAATTATTTTATCGCTGAAGTAGGAATTTCATGTTTCCCTTAATCCTCTGTTAAAGGCCTCACCATAAATATATCTCTAAAGGGTCTCCAACCCACACTAACTAAAACTACCTTGCATTATCTAAATGTGACACTAACTCTGTTATGTATTATCTGAATGCAATATTGCTAGCATCTGGTCTCACATAACCATCATACACTAGTTAACTGAGGGAACCTAGTGTCACATAGCATCGATGAAATTCCCACTAAGATACTGAATGATCTCTTGGTCCCACATAGCCATCAGGTAGATCATGGAGGAGAACCTGATCCACATATCAATCGATATAATTCTCACTCAAGTAAAGCATTGTCTCGGTCTCACATAACCATCAAGCCAAGCTCTAAAGATATCTGATGTACTGGGCTAATGCAACTACACACGCATATATGAGGGCCTAAAGACCATACAACATTTACAAGGGAAACTGAGGTAGCCTAACTACACACTAGTGTAGCTTGACACACTAAAGTGAGATCAACTCCTTACTAACTACTATCTTGCTCGTTCTCTCATCTAGAACGTTATGTAGGGTTTATTAGTCTTTTATTCCTGATAATTTATTAAGCTACTCTATTCTGTCATTAGCACTTAAGGGTATTTTATTATTTCTGTCTCTGAAGAGGTCTATATTTGTTTCATGATTGTATAATGATATTGATTTTGTTGTTCACTTGTTGTATTATTTACTTGCCAGATACCCGATTCGGATTCAATACTAAGTAGTCATACTCTAGTCGCTCTTGCTACGCTTTCCCTCAATTCACCCTTGAATTGGAGGGACAACTTTACTTTCACAATTCGCTAACATTCTTGCAATACGTAACTCTTCCATTTTGTAATCTAATTAATTTGTTATACCACTTATTGGTACATCCTCTGCAACGATCCTTCAGTCTTAGATACTCAATGTGCTCTTGGCTTAAGGTACTTGAACGTATTACACTGATTGTGGTTACTTCGGTTGTAACCCACTCCTATGAGTGTTTTTAGGCCTCTTTGGCCATTTACATCCATCACAAACTAAGTTCTGCCATTACGGATCATCCCTAACTCTTACAGGCCTTAAAGAAGTCAAATATAACCATCCAAAGTGGGTAGTATCGATACTCTACTTACAGTAACGATACCCTAGGGTCAGGTATCGATAGGCCTACGAGTACAGGTACCAAAAATGACTTTTTTTTGCTGAAAATTTAGCCTATTATCAATACTGTAGGGGAAGTATCGATACTCACCCTAGAAGCATCGATACTTCTAGCTGAAAACCCCTAAATTTCATCCCAACTCATCCAGCATCGATAATGTTCATCCAGTATTGATACTCGAACCCAAAAATGTCATATTTAAGCTCAGAAAACACCCAAAAATCACCCTAATGGTCTTAATTTGGATCCTAATCATGGTCTAAAGCTTTAAGAGGTTTGTTACGATTTTTGAAAGCTCGAATCGATAACCAGAATGGTTTGCAAAGAGAGGTCGGAACGGTTTTATGTTTAGGGAGTAAGGAGATTGAAAGATAGAGAATTGCACAGCGATTTATAGTGGTTCGACTTTCTCAAACAAAGTCTACGTCCACTACCTTAGCTCCTCACCAAGGATTTTCCAAAAAATTCACTAATTTGTTCTTTCTTTTGAGGATAAAGAGTAACCTTACAAACTCCCTAGTTTTTTTTCGGGCTAAACTAGAACCTTTCCCTATCTTTTACACGGGATTAGCTAGAACCTTTCCCCTTTACAAAAGGATAAGAAATGTAAACAAGAAACCCACTCTAAGGTAGGTGTTTACAAGAATTAAGCTCACAAGAACAAAATATTTACAAGAGAAAGATGAAATAAGAATGAAGAACTCTTCTCTTGTGTTTGATTGTTTGGATGGTTGTTCTCTTACTTCTTCAAGTGTCCTTAGCTTGTATTTATAGCTTGAAATGTGTTTGAAGTCATATCTAGCCGTTGGGGATGTTTTGGAGCCGTTTGAGAATGATTTTTCTGTAAAAATAGGCTGCCCAGAATGGGGGGAATCGGTACCCCTTCATAGGGAATCGATACCCCTTCATAATATTCAAATATTATGACCGTTGGGCTGATGAACAGTGAGGAAATCGGTACCCCTTGGGGGGAATCGGTTCCCCTTTTACATACTGAAATTTTTGAGCCTCGGGGGGTACTGTTCAAACAGTGATTTACTTAATTTTGAATTAAAAGAACTTTGAATTATTTTTGTAAATTTTGAATAAATTCAATTAAGTCCAAATACATTTTGTAAATTCAATTCAAGTCCAAAAAGCATTTTGCCTTAAATTGTTATATCGAAACATAGTTCAACAAGGTTATTTAGGGTCTTAAAGTAGAATAAAACACCTTCTTTAAATCTTAAATGTCCTTAAATCATGAAATCAAGTGTAAAATCTAACATGCTTAACTACACAAATCTTAACAATTCTTCATATTTATGAAAGCTTAACATTCCAAAGGATTAGAAATACACCACCTTGGTTAAAGAATCCCGAAATGAATCCCCTTTAACTAGTAATCACTTTC